ACAGGCTGTGATCTACCTGGCTGGGAAGCAGCTCTGTGGAAAGGGACCTGGGCAGTCCTGGTAGACAACAAGCTCAACAGGAGTGAACTGTGCACTGCTGAGCCAAAGAAAGCCAACAGGATGCTGGGTTGCATCAATAAGGGCATCACCAGCAGAGATGAAGAAGTTGTTATCCCACTCTACTCTGTGCTTGTCAGGCCACACCTGGAATACTGGGATCAGTTTTGGTCCCCACTATACAAAAAAGATGTGGACAGGCTGGAGAGGGTCCAGAGAAGGGCCACAATGATGATCAAAGGACTGGGAACCCTGCCATATGAGGAAAGCCTTAGAGAACTGGGTTTGTTCAGCCTTGAGGGGAGACCTTATCACCATGTTCCAGTATTTAAAGGGTGGCTACAAAGGCAATGGAGACTCCCCTTTTACAAGGAGTCACATGAAGAAAAGGGTTAATGGGTACAGGTTACTCCTGGGGAGATTCCGATTAGACACAAGAGGAAAATTTTTCAGTGAGAACAATTACCCACTGGAAAAAACTCCCCAGGGAAGTGCTGGATTCCCCAACATTGGACACTTTTAATATTCGGATGGACTGGGTGTTGGGCCATCTTGTCTAGATGGTGGTTTTGCCAAGAAAAATTGGACTTAAGGAATTCTTTAAAAAATGGCATATAGATTGCATTCATAATTACATCTGAGCAGGCAGGCAAACTCTTCAGCATATTATACTTTATGGAGTAACTTCTAGTGACATGGAAAAGAATACAGTCATGACATAGAGAGCTATCATTGACCCAACAGAACAAAAATTTCTGTTCCTCCTGTAATACAAGGAAGAAAATAATCCTTTTGTTCTAATTCTTTGCAATCATTATTGTCCCTTTTCTGGGGAAGAATTCAGACATCATATTGCCAGGTAGTATGTAGATAAATGAAGATGCAGGTGAACAAATTGTTCTTCACCTCTATCTTTCTGTGATTAAAGGAATGCTGTGCACTTGTTATGTAATGACAATATGTCTGCAAGGGGATCAACATTAGGTATGTTGAAAAAATAGCAAGCAGTTTTCTATTAAAAGTCAATATTTAATTACAGTTATGAACAATTAGGTAATAACTGTAGTTAAGCATTGGCCTTTTAAAACATCACTAGAGTTACCTGAATTTGAAAGCAGATGCTTTCCTGAACAGCTTTTCAGAACAGGTTGCCCAGAGAGGTGGTAGATGCCTCATCGCTGGAAACATTCAAGGTCTCATTGGACGAGGCTCTGAGCGACCTGATCTAGTTGAAGATGTCCCTGTTCATTGCAGGGGGGGTTGGACTAGATGACCTTTAAAGCTGCCTTCCAACCCAAACTATTCTATGATTCTATGATTCTATGATAACTTGATTCCATTTTCCTAGAAAGAAACAAGGAATTGCAGCAATCGCAATGCAAATAAATGAATGTGCATTATTTTTCCTATCTGTGGTGGGTGTGTTGGTTTGTCATTCTGGAAAACTTAGTGCTCACTCTTGAATTTTGCCGGCTTTGCATGTAAGCCTTTAATTTGGGTCATCACAGAAATCCAAATGACTCCTCATTGTCAAGATAGCAAAATAATATCTATTTGAACAAAGACAGAACCTCTAATTCTTAATGAGGACAAACTTTTACATGAAATATGGTACTCAGAGGTCTAACTTCATGTTGATACCATAAGATTGAAGTATCAAGTCACAAATCTGGCCTCTCAACACAGTTACCCCACCGCACACACTTCATGCAGTAGCTAAGAATTAGACAGTTGATGAAAAAAAAGCACAATCATTTCTTTCATTAAAATGTATGAGTCAAAATACTGTGGATCTGTAATTCCCCAGGATATTTTTATAGCTAGGTATTTCTGCCCAACCAATTCGTGAGCATTTATTCGATAACATGCAGCTTGTCTTCTGAAGCATGGCAGTGGTGGTGTTTCATTTTTTTTCTCCTATGTAGACAACAGATGCCTGCAGCCTGTGTGCAACAACACCATTTTTTGCATATAGGAAAAGAGAATGAAAAAGTACGGCGAATGGAAGGAAAAATAAGATTTGTATGTGTTTAGTTTTCTGTGGGAAACAAAAACAGAATTGCAGATGCCTGTGAACGAACTATCTGTGGTTAATCCTATATAGATTTAGAGCTACTCATCTAAATACTTAGATTAGCATTTATGTCAGAGGCGTCAGGTAGCAGTAACAAAGAATGGAAGAGGATCCAGACAAATATCTGCTCCTACACTGTAATTTTTCATGCCTGGACAAATGCTGAAAGGCTCTCAAACACTGCAGGATTTGATCAAAGGGATATAAGTCTGGCAAGAGCCAGGCCTTATATTGTAATGGTCGATGTTTATTTGGAGTCTCACTTCCACTCTCTGTTACTTCCACTTAACTTCAGGAGTATCAGCAGTGCTGCTGATTTCAGTGACAGTTTTCAGGAGCTCAGAGCTCAGCATGACTTCAAATACTCTCCTGGCTTTAACTCAAATCATCTGGCAAGGAAAGTCCCTTTTTTGCTTTCGAAACAGATTACGTGGATTCTTCTTAGGAAATAGCTCCCTCTTCTGTTGGATCAAAAAAACCCAGTTCTCTGGAGGAAGGGAACTGTTTCAAACCACTTACTACAGCAATGGAGCACAGTACCACAATACTTTGCAGAAAATGGTGCACTGGGGAAGTCCCCTCTCAGTCCAGCTTCTCCTTTTCCGATCACTTCACAATTATTGCATAAGGTTGGGCAGTGTCAGCACGTCCAACTGCAGCTGAGTGAAGTTAGTAGAAGAGGTTTCTTGGTCAGACACAGTCTTCCCAAAGAATTTGATCCAGTCCAATATGCCTTTGACACTCATAAATAACATACTATATATTCATTGATTATCAAATACCAGGAATACACTTATTGTTCTCAGCTTTGTTGGGGAGCTGTCAAAAGCCCACTGAAGCTGTATTCTCTACCCCAATTAATGATGAGTGTGAAGTAATAAACCATCCTGAAACTGGAAAAGATGAAGTGATGGGTTAGCACTATCTTATACACTGTCAAGCTATATGAAACAAGAGTTGCATGGAGTCAGACCCTATTGCTTCTGCTTCCAGACTGACTTATGAGCTGTCTCTCTGCATTCACTTGGAGTCACAAAAGACTTAATAAATCCTTCTGGAAGCAGAATATCAAAGGTGGATCTGCAGGAACCTGTTCCAGTCCAGCAACATCTGGACTTGTATTGCCTGGCTTTGGCTGTTATTTGAGATAAGTCAGCTTTCCAGTACAGTACATAGTGGAGAACTGACCTCTTGTGGATTTTAAGACTTAAGACAGTTTTACTTTGGCCTGTCATTCAATAACCTTCTACAAATTAAGTTAGCTAATAAATGCATAATGCTGGTGGCTGTTTTCAGTTGCTTTTTGTTCCAGAGGGGAAGCAAGTGCCACTCCCAGCCCATTTGCAGCTCCAGTAGATCCACAGTTTTTTAACTCCCACAGACCATAACACAAATGTGGAAAGACCTGATATATAATTGCTTCCTCATGATCTCAACAGAGCCTCAATACACTGTATCTCAAGATTTGTACGAAATTAAACAGGAAAACAAAATAGCAATAATTTAGAAAAAAATCTGTAGTTGCAGTTCTAGCAGTTTTCAGCACTTAAACAAAACCAACAAACCTGGCTTCTGTTAAATTGAGTAAAACAGAAATACTACTTTATGGTCCACAGAAGGGGATAATGGCATGCCGATATGTTTATGGAGCAGCAGGTGATATACACTTGAAAATATTTCTACCAGTTATAACACACGCTTACCTCTAGCACTGGGAGTGCACCACAAGACCAACACTCAGGGTGCCTGAATGCTATGCTTGACTTTACTATTGACGTGCTGTGTGACCTCTGGTATGCACGTCTCCCTCTACGTGCTTCAGTTTTCCCACCTGTAGTATGGGCAGAGTGATACTCACTCCCTGCTTGAAATTGTTTGAGAGCTGCTGACGAAAAGCCCTAGATACGAGGCAGCAGTCGTTATTGTGAGGATTTTATATATGGACAGGGCACATTCACCCTGCACTGCTCAAACCAAGAGTATCTTCACCAATTCAGAATTCCAGACTGGTTAAACTTTGACAGATGACTCAATCTGAAGCATTTCAAAACCCAACCCAAGTCACAGCCCCTCCTACAAAGCCAGATCTCAGATGTGGCAGTCTGGGTCCTACTGCATTAGCACTCCCCAAATAAACAAAATCCCATGCCTCCCACTCTTCTCAAATTCTGCACAGAAAAAAAACAAACCCAAACTTTAAAAAAAATCGACTAAGAGTATAACACAGAGAAAAGCCAGAAATAGATATTTGGAGCTCACAGGAGGAGGCTCTTCTAAACCTTTTATATCAATGTGAAGCAATGCAGCACAATAAAAAAAAAATCTGAGCTAACTTTGAGTAAAATAATTCTGGTAGCTAAGCAGGCCTGTTTGGGCATGGCTTGGGTATCTCGACACAGCACTGCACTAAACCATGTGTACATATCTATGCACTTGGCTGGTACTCCTTAATTTTATCCTCTGAGGTTTTCTGGATGTACCACTGCAATATTTAGAGGTAATCAACACTATTTCCTAAGGAGTGATCAATGTCTCTGTGGAACACTGTAGATGACCTCCGCAGGTGGGAGTCATCTGTACTGCTTAGATGTCTAAGTGGTCTAAGTCTGAACTAGTAACTAGCTCCCTTCTGAGGTAGCAAAGAGAAACCAGCACCTCTAGGTCTCTTCATTGCCCAAGAAAGGAGTCTTGAGTGGCTTGGGATGTCAAAAGTTAGGAAGTTTAATCTTAAAACTTCTCCGACTTTCAGTATCTTTACCTCTTCCAGCTACTTCCCCTCAATGAAATCAGAAGGCATATCTCAGTCACTCCTAGTCCTTCATCGGATTGCCTCAACATTTTAGTGTAATATTCTTACAAACATTCTTACCTGGGGCCTGACAACCGACTCTCATTTTTCCTGAGGGACCTTTCTCTCTTCTCTCTTCCAGCCCCTGAATGTCTATGGGAGGCACTCACTTTAAGGCTTTTTTCATTGCTGTTTGTATCAAAGCTTGGAACTGATTTTCTTTCTTCTGTCTTCGTCCTCTCTCTTTCAGGCAGCAGTTTGGCAACAGAGCCATCTGTATCTTTGGGGACATTTCTTAGTTTTTCAGAGGCTGAATTCATATGTGAGCTTGACAGTGTCTTTGATGCAAACTCCATATTTACTTGTGTTGAAGATCCTTTGCTTTCTTGAAAATCAGCACTTGGGAAACTCAGATCATTTTCTTCATGTTCTTCACCCTTGAACTGTGCTGTGTTGCTTATGCTAGTAGATCGCTTTGAAAGCCTCCTTTTCTGCAGATCCTAGAAATAAGTGCCATTAAAACCATAGATTAAAATTTGAGCATCTTTAAATAAACATGAAAACCAAAGGAAAGGTCTATCACTAATTTCTGGGCTAAGCAATTCCTTCATTATTAGGAATCAGGTTAAATAGGAATCAGATTTTTTTTAAATTTATAATAAATAAGAACAAACATACACTTCTACTTAAAATTTGAACAGTATTAAAGATGCTGTATACCCTTAAAAGACTGCTTCCTTTTACGCAAGATCATCAACAAAATACCTCCTAGAAGCTTAATTTTGGGTTTGTACCGAACTCAGAGGAAACCGAGACATATAAGACATTTTACTGGAAAGACTGCCCACTACAGGTACCTAGTCTTTATTTCCATATCAGAGATATTTAGAAAAATCTAAATAATTCATTTAACTTCCATATTCTCTTCAGTATTATCCAAATGATATGTTTAAAATATCTCAGTTTCTCATTATTACAAGTCTAATTTCTCACTGGCAAAGTTCCTGTCTATATAAAAGCAGGAAGAAGGGGAAAAAAAAAAAAAAGAGAGGCAAGAATTTTAGAATTGTGTTTTAAAAACACTTACTGATGGAATATGATCTGATTGGACCAATTTAGAAATGTATTTCTAACTGCAAGTAATTTTCAATTCCAAACGGCTACTCATTAACTGTAGGGTTTTGGAAAAAAAAGAGTAAAAAAGATACCCGTGGCTAAGAAAACATTGAAAGCTGTAGATACTGCTAAGGTAAATAAGCAATTTTGCTAGTAAAATGGAAGGTCCCATCTGTCAAGATATATCAAGAATGGAAAAGATTTCTAAAGAAATTCTGTAACCTAAGATCACAGACATGCAGGGAGCAGTTGCATGTAGTGGTTATATCTGAAACAATTTGAATTTCTGAATTAATCAGAACCACTTCCCTAACTTACCACATATTTTCAGACTGCGGATTTAATGGATTAGCATGCAGAAGTAATTTTAATATTATTTGCAAATGACTTTATCACAGAAGGTTAGATATAAAATCCACAGCCAAGCCCAATATTTTGTAAGTGTTGGAAATCACCTCTGGTGAACTTGCTACTGGTCCAGCCATCATTCCTCTGACAATGAGACCAGACCTGGGCCTTGGCTTTTCCTTCACTGTGGATTTCAGGTCCTCAGAAATCGTTGCTGCTTTTAAATCTTCTCCACTGTCTTTTAACTTCTTACCCCCAGAGGGTAAGTGGCTGTTGTGTATTGTCCCCGTGTGGCATTTTTCACTTTTGTGCTGATGCTTTCTGGATGGAAGGATTTTATCTAGTGGATTCTCAACATCGTATCTACAAGGAAGAAAAAGGCAAAACTTCAAACAGCAAAATAATGCACAAAGAAATCAATGAAAACATCTGCTTCATTTATTAAAGCATTGCTGTAAAATTCATTTACTTATTATCTAGCAATGGTACTCACATAAAGTCACTTTTCACTTAAGCATCTGTATATAGGTCTTCAGGACATTATTTCAGTATCATTACTATGTGTCACAATTGGTTATAATATGTGTAACACTTTAATTTTATGCTTACTTATTTTGATATGTACCATATCATAACAGAAAGCAAACTACGTATATCATACCAGACAGGACCTAAGCTACCACCAGCAGTTCCCATTCCTTCTTCACCTACTTGGTTGGCAGTTTGAAAATTTGTTAACACCCTCTGTTATATTATAACTTAGACTGACTCTACTGACGCCCTTCACTCTTTGTTCAATTATAGAACACTTACTATTTTAGTTCAGAAAGAAACGTGCTTTTGTATTTGGGCTTCTCTTTGATCATAGGTTGCTACATCCCTGTCATTTGACCTCTTCTATATTCTTCAACCTGGTCCTCCAGCTAGCAATACAAGGTGTAGTTCACTCTTTGCATCTGTTTTCCTACACATGTATAATGCTATAAACAGGCTTTTCTGAAATGCAAGTGAGATTCACCTGGATCTGTGACTCCGTTTGTACACCACTATATGCATTTCTTTCTTAAAATATCTTTTAACAAATCACGTTCCTAGTAAAAAAAAGAAGTCATCATGTGTGCCTGTAAGAAATCATGACAAGTCTGATTTTCTTCATCAGGATCTGTTTCACTGTCTGCATAATCTTAGATCACTGTTAAATGGAAGTTCTTTCACTCAGTAGCGCAAACTTCACTGAGACTCTTTTGTCTCAGTTGATAAATTTATATTCTGTGTAACCTGAAAATGCTAGCCTTCTTTCCAATAACTGTCCTTGAACTTGGTTTTCATCCTAGGATGTTTTTCTCCATCCTATTTCATAGTAAAGCGATTCCATGAGTTGAAGTATGTTGTATCACAAAAACGTTCCTTTTATTTAACCATTTATCAACTGTTTTTTGAAGTAGTATGCCTCATGTTGTGGAGACACGCTGCATGAGTAAACTAAAGGGAGCACTAGGAAATCTAAAGACTCTTGCTCCTGGCCTGGGACCACGTAACCCTTCACTGCCAAAGGGCACGGTGTGTCAGCAGAGAGACTGTTTTAACAGTTACAGACATTCAAGGAAACTTCCAAGAGGTAAACTAAAAGGAAAGTGGACTCTTTAATAAGGAACCAGTGAAGACTACCTGTCTAATTACACTCCCCATTCCTGAAAGCAGTGTTAAAAATTACCCAGGTAGTTGAAATTAAAACTAATTTCAGGCACTGGTTGGTTGACCTGGTAATGACTGAGTTTTCCTTTTCCGAGGGTCAGATTCTCAGCTGGTTTCGAAAGAAAAGTCAGTTACAAATACTGATTTGTATCACGACAGGCCCCAAAACCCCTGTTGCCCTGTCACACCCACTCAGCACATTTTTCCTTCCTTGGACCTCCAGCCAACTTCGGCCTCCTCAGCTCAGGAAGACATAACCGGTGAGGCTGGTGGTCATGAAGGCAGGAAAATACCTACAAAATCACACAGGACTGAGAGGGAAACCTGCAAGGCAATGTAGGTTCCTGCCCTCTCCGGAGCTGGCAGCTTTCAGTGTGGGGCTGGGTAACGTTTCCAAGCTCATACACACAAAAAGTTGGGCATTTCTGCTTGTTGCTTTCTGATTTTCCTTTCATCTGCCATTTTTGGCTCCCCCCTGCCCCACTGACTAAAGCAGCAAAGGAGAATTCTCTGCTGCTTGAGGGACGGCGCCTGCGCCATACTGATGAGGGGCCCTTCCTCACAGCACCATGCCATCCCCCCCACTCCCATCGCTGACACAGGTTGCTCCTGCGTGTGTGGCTTTACTTTGCCTCTTTGCATTTGTGTGTTCATGGATGTGTCTATAATGAGCACGGCCATGTGCG